GTACTGAAGTTTGCATATGGATTCTCTGGGGCAGTTTGGTTGGTCCCAGACCACCAGTAAGTACTATTTGAAATTCCATTATGTATCTGTATGTTAGTGCAAAGTGATCCTCTACTTCTATATGGTAGTCTTCCCCTTTTCAACTATGCAGACATGACCAATTATAGAGGTTTTTATTTCCCAGGTGGATTTGCTTACGGTATGTTTACTTTCATTGTATGGTTGGTAAGTCTAATTCTTGCTTCCCAGAGCCATTGGTCTCCCATGTTAGTTCCTGCACATATATAACAGTTTATTTTTATTTTTTATTTTTAGGGAGCTTGCTATGGTTTCTGCTAACTCCAGGAAAACGTTACTGATAGCTGGGGGGTACCTGGTTTGCCAGATGTTCTTGTCTCCTCATAAAATGAGTGAAATAGGTGATGAGTTTGTTTGATGGGTGTAAGCAATCAGGTTAATTGTGAGAATAGTACCCGAGTTGGACCCGGTCCTAGTTATCTGGAGCCCCACTTCCCTAGGTCCATCCTTAAACCACTCTTTAGGATTGTAAATGGTGAGACTGATTGGATTACAATTGCTTTGTGTGCAATCTGAGCTAGTTACACCTTTTGAGAGGAAAGCAGTTTTCCCAGAAGAATGTCATGTGGCCCAGCTTACACAAGACCAATAAGGGCAACGATTATAGTATGGGCCCCAACAGTCGCTCACCTTTCCATTACAAGTACCCCTGCGACACATGTACTTGTCCTGGTGCCTATACTATCTGACCCAGTCCAAACTGCCTCAGGTGCTTCATGATCAGGTGTTGAGGCTGATTGCCTTACAGCCATTGAAGATTATTGGGACTGGGGAAGTCTGGGAGGAGACCAGTCTTATTAATTAGCTGTCCAGTCGAGCTGAAGCTCCTCATTTCTAGCTAGTGTTTGGGTGGATTATGTTGCGGTTTATAACAGACCTTGGTGGTCTTGCAGTATGAGTAGGTTGTTGGGTTATGTTCGCAGGATGAGATCTCTGGCAATTGTAGTATGAATGCCGTATCAGGGGGTTATGACTCTGGACCCTGAGTAGGTTGTTTTGAAACACTGTGTGCAAGGATCAGGAGAGGAAGAAACAAGAGGTAAAGAGGAATATAAGCAGTAAAGTTCAAAGTATAGGATGAATCCCAGGATAGTCATTGTATGTGTGAGTGCAGGCCCTCAGACTTCGGCCATGCGTAGACCAGCCAGCCAGTGGAGTGACTGGAGCAGGGTGCTGTAGATCTGTGGTTCTCACACTGCAGAGTCACCTTCAGAGGGTTCTGAGGGCGGCTTTTGATTTCCCAGAACTCATGATGAATCCATGGGGTGAGAGATACCTAAAACTTTAACAGTGGTTGGAGTGGACAGTATGATTGTATAGGACCCTCTCCACTTGGGGTTTAATTCAACTGACCCCCACTTTTTTACCCATATTTGGTCCTCTGGTAAATAAGGATGTACAGAAATGCTCAATCCTATGGGGAGTCTTTGGTCTCCTAACCCAGCTGTTTACTTGTTGGAAAGATTTACCTAACTGTAACAATTGGATCTGTAAGGTTAGGGACCCTAATTGGTTTAGTCCTCCTTTTAAGCCACTGATGATAGGGGCGGCCGCCCATATAGCACCTCACAGGGAGATAACCTATGGGTCTTGGATGGTTTGCACCATATTCTGAGTAGTGCTATAGGTAACATCTGGATCCAGGTTGTCTGTTTCCTAGCTGAGTTTCGTTAGCATGATCTTGAGGTCCAATTCATGCGTTCCACTTTCCCAGAGCTTTATGGTCGATAGGCGGCATGCAACTTCCAATTGATTTTCAGGATGTGGCATAAGTTCTGGATTACCTTGGCTACAAAGGCAGGGCTGATACCCGAGCCTGTGGTGAGAGGCAGTCCATAGCATGGAATTATTTAAGTAGGTTTTTGGTCACCTCTTGAGCTTTTTCTGTTCAAGATGGAAAGGTTTCTATCCAACCAAAGACAGTACATACCATAACCAATAGATATTTGTATCCTCCTGACCAAGGTAATTGTTAAAGTCAATCATGATAATCTGAAATGGAGCAGTTCCAGTTTTCCGTACTTGTGGAGGACCCGTAGGTCCCTGTTTTAGGTTTTTTTTTTTTTTTTTTTTGCACAGAGGGTGCAATGGGCAGTGGCTAGTTGGGTTAAAGTTGGTAATTTATGGATATAGAAATATTTTTTAAAACATATTGCAAGTTGTGGTTTTTCCTAGATGGGTGTTGTCAATTTCCAAAAGTTGGTTAATATTCATGCCTGTGAATCCCTCTTGTATCTGGAGCTTCCTTCTGCTATCACTCTGTGCCTGTGCTACGAACGTGGTGTTGACTATTTCCTGGTTCTCTGCACTTTCTGGGTCAAACGGGGTGTAAGTCCGGAAGGCTTCACATAGCTGTTCATCGAATTTGGAGGGGCTTTCTTCAGGGGCCTGTAGAACCTCAGTTGTTTTATTAAATAATAGCCTTACAGCTTCCAGCCTTCAATCCTTGTATAAGAGCTCTCTGTACAGTTTGATATCTACTAACCCCTCTTCGTTCAGGTCCCACCTGGTATCTTCCTCAGGAAAACGTTTGGTTGCCCACCTCTTGGCATCCATTGTGGGCTCAGGGGCATTTTCCTCTAGCCACTGGAGGGCTCCCTAAGTTATTTTCCTCTTTTCTTCACAATTGAAAAATGTTATGAGAAGTTGGTGGCAGTCCTGCCAGGTGGACTGATGGGTTTGCATAATTGACTGTAACAAGTCAATCACGCCCTGAGGCTTCTCGGTGAAAAGAGGGATTATGTGTTTTCCAGTTGAGCAGGTCTGTGGAGGTGAAGGGCTGCTATACTGACGTGGGTCTTTCCTCTCTGTGACTTCCCATGCGCATCATATACTAGCAGACCCTGGACCGCCAGCGGGGGAGCCTGAATGGGTAGGGGGCCTTCTCTGCCACCGCTGGCTTGGCATGTGGAGCAGAGGGTGCGCGGGCTATACGGTGGGGTAGGGTCTATGTCTGGCTCCGGATCATCAGAATAGGCTTCTTTTCTTCTGGCTTCCTGTTTCCCTGAAGGGATGTGGGGGCCACCACCTTATCTACCACTGGTTGCCTCCCTTCCTCCTTCCATCTCTTTAACCAATCTGGTTGGGTTTGGACTATACTTAGCCATGAATCTGCATCTATATAAGGAAACCGATCAGGGCGTTGTGCCGGGCCAGTGGTTATTTTGTGATAGACTGCCCTGACCAAATCCATCTCCAGGCTACCTTCTGAGGGCCATCCGACCCCAAAACTAGGTCATTCAATTTCACACAGCATTCTACCTTTGAACGAGGTCAATCTGAAACCACAGTCCCGGCTGAAACCCTTCTTAAAATTCCTTATCATGCATTCTAATGGGGTAGACTTACAGCACGTTCCCCCCATTCCTCCCAAGTCAAACAACTTTGAATCTTAAACAAGGACACACTAGGGAGGGTTCTCAGAGGGACAATACGGCTGTGTGTCACTCGTCCACACAGGGGTAGCCTCCACCCGCTTTGTTCGTCTCTGGCCACTGGATGCAGAGCTCTCTTGGCCTTGGCGCAGTCGTCGTGTAAACGCGACCTCGGCGGGCTCGAAGCCTCCGGCGGTGAGCAGAGCACGCAGATCAGAACTCCTCACTCGCTCCGTGTTTCAGTAACAGGCCTCAGGCACACACCCGCAGACCAGCCGACCCGATGGAGTGCCCTGGTTCCCGCCGCTGAGGGCGGCCCACGAGAGGGGCTCCGGGCGGCGATCAGGCTCCCCTTCCTCACTAAGGGAGGGCAGGCCACGCTGACTAAACCCGAGGCCGCACCGGCTTCCGGACGATGGAGCTCCGACGACGGGGTCCGGTCCTCGCCTCCTTGCGGTTCTCAGGCGCGGGAGGAGAGACCTGTCTCGGCTCCCACCGGATCTCGTCCTCTCCGTCCGGTCGAACTTTCCTGGTGGCGCCGCGGAGAAGACCCGGGGTTCGGCCGGCGGGAGAGGTCTCGCCTCCCGGGTCGAGAGGTGATAAAGTCACGCACCGATCCCGGACGAGCCCCCAGAATATGTAACGGCAAAGTGTGGCCCCCATCCGCAATCAGGAGGCCTGGAGGATGAGGAAAAACAGACTTTCTTTCAGTGACCGGCCGGCCGGGCTCAGCTGAATCGCTTCCAGACTGAGCGCCGAATGAGGCAGGCGGGGTTTCATAGAGTTCAAAAAGGGGTGGGGTAGCGAGGCGGGGGCGTGCGGCTCTCGGGTTGGCACTAGGCGGGGGGTTCCAACCCCACGGTCACATTTAGGCGGGAGGGGAACTTTTGTTTTGCTTGCTGCTTCAGCTTCTTGGGGTCATGGTCACCAAAGCCACTTACACCCGAGTTTCAGGGCATAAAAGGCGGCACTGGGGTTGAGAGGCGCCTCGCAGTCTTCACCTAAAACCCAGTCCTGCGTTCTCTTTACTTGTAGACCCGGGGACTGTCGTCCACGGGGAACGGGAAAGACAAAAATAAGCCCTCCGAACTAGGCGCGTGCCCACTGGGGAGAGTGCAGCGGCCTCCCCCAGTCCCGGGAACCGAACATCGAGAGTGCTTCCTGCGGCTCCGAGAGCCGCGGCCTCCCGTCGGCCGGGTTAGCGCGATGCCGGAGACGAGCGGGGAAGGGGGACCAGCCGCCATCTTTCTCCGGGAGGCCCAAACCGACAAAGCGCGGCCTACACCGCCCCGCGGCCTCGGCCGCTCGCGCACTCGCGAGACCGCGACTCGGACGCCTAGCCGCGAAGGCTTTTGGGAAACGCAGTGGCGAGGAGGAAAGGAAGACAGGACCCGGAGCTGGGTCGGGCTGAGGCCCGGAGTGGAGCCTCCGGAAGCAGAAGGGGCGGGGAAAGGCGCGATTGACGCTGCACGCGAGCCAATGGTCTGCGCGCTCGGGCGGGCCTTTGGCCAATGGGACGCGCGGCCTGGCGTGGGGGCGGGCGCTGGGCCGAGGATAGCTTGAGCGCGGCGGCGGCGTTGTTCAGTCAGAGCGAGAACATTCCAGAGGTGAGTCCGGTGGCGGGGCGGCGGCCCGCGCCCTTCCGTTCTCCCCGTGGGCGCCGGCTGGGCTGGCCGCTCCACCTCACGGCGCTCTGTCCGCAGGTCGCCAGCTCCGGCGCTGACGGGTGTGGACCCCGGACGTCGCTGGGACTCCTCCCGCGCTTCGGCGGCGGCACCGGCCCGCCCGCTCCTCGCCCGCCCGCCTCCGCCTCCGCCTCGGACCCCGGTGACCACGCGCCGCACTTCATCCCAGTCCCGGGCGAGCAGCGTTGGGTTTATGTCTTTATTTGACGAAAACGGTGAGTCTTGGCGGCGGCGGGAGATGGCGGCCGTACAAGATGGCGACGGCCGCCGCGTGACCCTGCGCGTGTGGCGCAGTTTCGGGCGGCGGCGGGGGCGGCGCGAGCGACCCTCCCCGCCCCGCGCGGCTGACTCAGGGTCGGGGCTGCATCTGTGAGTCACTGCCGGGGGCATGGCGGCCTGGGCCCCGCAGCCCGGGCCCCGGCCCGGTTCCGCTTCCTCCTCCCCTCCCCCGCCGCCCGCGCCCCGCAGCGACGTGCGCGGCTCTCTTGGCCCCACCTGCAGGGGCAGAACTCGAGCGGGTGTCACCGTCGCCGGCCGCCCAGCCCCCAGCGGTGGCCATGGGGACAGGAGCGAAGGTTAACTGTGGGACTGGTGCTGTCCCCCGATGGAGGAGAGGGCGGCGAGGGTGGGTCCCGTTCCTCTCCTTTCTCGCTCGCAGGCAGGGTTGTGTTTTTTTTGAAGCAAGCAGTGACTGTTGACCGTGGATGCTTGCGGAATTTCCCGTTTGAAAGTGATGGCCGGGGACCCGAGCAGTGGTCTGTCCGGGCGTGGGTGGCGGAGGACAGGGCTGTGTGTGTTTCAGTAACCGAGGGAGGGTGGCTCCGCCGAAGCAAACCACTGACGGGCGAGTTGAGGTCGGTCTGATACTAAGCCACCGCAGCTGGGAAACAGCTGGGCGGTTTGTTTTTGTGGTCAAGTCAGGCATTTCCCTTCCAGAGCCGCATTTGGGTCCCCACGGATGCCTTTTGTGTGGCTGAAGTTGTACTGTGTTGCAGGGCACTAAGTAACATTAGCTGTTGTGCACCTGAACCAGAGAAGGGGCTTTGCAACACAGGGCGGTGGGGTACAACCAGCCAGGATGCAGAGGGACGTGTTACACTACAGGAATGATATTAAGCTTGAGCCTTGTGTCCTTTCTCTTGCAGAGCTGTTGCGCAGCCATTGGTACCTGTATTGGGGAAACATAGCCTACAAGCAAGGAGCTTACAGCCTCAGTGGCGAAAATTTTTTCATGTCAGAGACCGAGAACTCTTGCAGTCGTTTATGTCATCCCTTCTTCTCCAGACAGAAGATACCAAAAATTTGCAATCAAAGATCTCTTCATCTTATTGATAAAGCCACTAATAAGCCAAAATGTCTGTCAACGTCAACCGCAGTGTGTCAGACCAGTTCTATCGCTACAAGATGCCCCGTCTGATTGCCAAGGTAATGCTGGGCTTCGTTTTTTTATAGGAAGTGGTCATAAGCTCTCTTAGATTTTAAGAGGTTACACTTAACAAGTTAGGCAGTGTAAAATTACCATTCTTATTTTCTTTAGGTTGAGGGCAAAGGAAATGGAATCAAGACAGTTATAGTCAACATGGTTGACGTTGCAAAGGCGCTTAATCGGCCTCCAACGTGTAAGTAATGTCTTTGGAGCAGTCTAAAAAGGTTCCTGAATTCTTTGATATGCCTAAAATTGTGTGCTAATTAATTAGTTGACAGGTTAAATGGCACCTTGGAGTTAAAACTGACTTGCTGGTTGTCATGAGTAACCTGATAAAAACATAAAAGAGTGGTACTTGGATTAATGTGAATTGATAAGGATTAACTTTTGTTAACTGTAATGTGCCAATTTTTCTTTTTTCAAATAGATCCCACCAAATATTTTGGTTGTGAGCTGGGAGCACAGACCCAGTTTGATGTTAAGAATGACCGTTACATTGTCAATGGATCTCATGAGGCGAATAAGCTGCAAGACATGTTGGATGGATTCATTAAAAAATTTGTTCTCTGTCCTGAATGTGAGAATCCTGAAACAGACCTGGTGCGTGCTTTTGAGCGTTCTGCCAGTGTGTCTGCTTGTGTGTTCAGTCCTGTGATGTCACCAAATCGTGTTCCTGAGATGGCAGAGCAGGCTGCATTGGAATTTAAAAAAAAAAAAGATCACATTGTAAAAAGAATATTTGTCTACTGGGCTGTCTTCTGAGGCTTACATATTTCCATGCATTATTTCTCGCAGAATTATCATACATAGTGGTGGATGACATACTTGTTTTTATTCTTTTGGCAGCATGTCAATCCAAAGAAGCAAACAATAGGTAATTCTTGTAAAGCCTGTGGCTATCGAGGCATGCTTGACACACATCATAAACTCTGCACATTCATTCTCAAAAACCCACCTGGTAAGTCATCTTGATGACCTAAAATTTTAACATAAAGCAACTAATTATTGGAAACAATATGTAAGTTTTCTTGGTTGTGAGCCAGAAATGAGGAATTTTTTATTCTTGTACTATGTTTAAGATGTCTTTGAATATACTGTCAAAGTGGCTAGTTGGACTATATAGCAATTTTGAAAGCAGATTATCTTGGAAGGGATGAAATACAGTACTGTAAAATAGATTGATGGGATCCCAGCAAACAGGTTCTGCTGTTGATTTAGATACAGGGGCTTGGGTCATCAGCTTAAGTTGATGCAAGCAACACTCTGTGATGGATGATTGAAACCGTCCATCACAATTTGCGCTTGCTATAGCAAGAAAGTCTAACCTATTCCGGTTTTCTCTCCTCAGTGAGACAAGCTGTTACATAGACTTAAACAGTGCTTGTGCTCTTGGCTAAAGCCCATTTGAGATTTGGTATTGTACCAAGTTCATGTGGGGTAGAGGGGAAAGGTCATAAGGGACAAAATTTATTACTTGATTTGGAAGCATCAAAACATTCTTTGTCCTTTTTGTAAATGTCTAAAGATTTGAATAATAAAAGGAAGAATGGGAACTAAAAGGATCTCTGTATTTAATACTGATTCTCCCACTAGTATTTTGGGTCACTTCATCTTTAGTCTGAGTTTCTTAAACACATATTTTGATCTTTGAAGCCCCTTAGAATTCCAGGTCAAACTGTGTGTGTGGTTTTCTGAGGGAAGGAATCCAAAGTATTCATTGGACTCTTCAGAGTGGGGATGTGTATGACATAAAGGGCCAGGGTTTTAAATGTGCCTAATGGACAATGAGGTAATATAACATGTAGGCTTAAACTTTTGTTTTACATAGAGAATAGTGACAGTGGTACAGGAAAGAAAGAAAAAGAAAAGAAAAACCGAAAGGGGAAGGATAAGGAAAATGGCTCCGTGTCCAGTAGTGAGACACCACCACCTCCACCTCCAAATGAAATCAGTCCTCCTCCCCATGCTGTGGTGAGTGCTGGGCAAAAGTAGAAGTCATTGGCTGAGGTGGGCAGAAATGATGAAAGTATCCTTCCTGGCACATGATGGCAACATTTTTGTTTTGTTGACTGCTTGAATTAAGGTTGCCTTAATTTATTTCAGTGGAAAATGAATTTAATGCTATTAGTTTGGTTAAAAACTGATGTGTTTTTTTATTTTTGAAGGTTTTAACCAAAGATTTTTGTTTATGAATAGGAAGAAGAGGAAGATGATGACTGGGGGGAGGATACAACTGAGGAAGCTCAGAGGCGCAGAATGGATGAAATCAGTGACCATGCAAAAGTTCTGACCCTCAGTGACGATCTGGAGAGGACCATTGAAGAACGAGTCAACATACTGTTTGATTTTGTTAAGGTAAAACAAATGCTTTCAGGGCAGTGTAGAAGTTAGCTTCAATCCAGCCGTGGGGTTTAATGACGACTTCAGACTGGGTGGCTGGTAACTTTTTCTTATGGTAGTTCTTTTGGATATTCAGGAGGCTTATATTCACCACCACCCACTATTTTTATTTTAAAGCCATAGACTTAACGAACAGTACATTTATTTTTAAAATTGTTTCTTTTAACAATTTTTTCTGTTAGAACCTACCATTTGTACTTCCTTCCTTTTGGAAGGGCAAGCAACTATGAATCCAATTTGATGTGTCTCCGGAGACGAGACCAAGCCACAGATCCACTGCAAATGGAGCAGAATCCACCCTCTTACATACTCAGGCCCTTAGCCTTCGTAGGTTTTATGGGCCTGCAAAAACGACATGGAGGCCACGTGTTCTGAACTCCTCTAATCCCACAAGGGGAAGACAAGATTACCAGCAGTAGCCCAAGGCCTATTCCTACAGGACCAGACATACTGCCTCCCTCCAGCCCTTTCTCCAACCGTTCTCCCAAAGCACCCACCACCTCTCTCCTGGGTTTGATAATTCGCTGCAGTGGCCACATAGAGCTCACAGATTGTGTATTAGGGAAGCACCACAGGCTACTAATTCAAGTTCAGGGAAAATGCTCTCTCTCCCAGCCCACCGTCCCTCAGCCAGCAGTCTCTCACAGTCTCTTTCCCAGCAGCGCTGGTACCTCACTGTCTCACTCAGCTATGCGTGTCTCTTGCGTCTCTTTCCAAGCAATGAGTGTCTCAGGAGCCCGTGTCTCTTTCAGCAGCACGTCTTCCTCAACCAGCAGTCAGAGCAAGCTCTGCCTCTAGAAGGCCTCCTTTTGAACCCGGCAGGTGGTCAAACTAGTCAATCATAGCATCAGAACTCTAAGCACCTGAGAGAGAGTGGGCACCTCCCACAACATTGTTTTGTGCCACTCCCAACAGAAATACTCCAGGTGGACAACTTCCAGCAATCAGGAGCTCCTCAGTTGCTCATAGAAAATCCCACCTTGGAGTTTACAAAGACTTATGGGTAGAAAAGCCACACTAAGTAATTTACTACACCGCAGGGCCCTAGTACTTAATTTCAAGAGTCATATTGCTTCTAATCCTGATCATCTTTCTTGTTCTTATGGGACTTTTTTTTTTTTTCCTGTGTAAAAATGGGTGTTTCTCCGATAGAAACTTGTCACTTATAAATTACATTTCAAAACTAGAACTTTTTCAAGGTGGTATGGTTTCTCTTGTGTAATTCTCAGGGATGCCTGATCTAGAATAGAGACTAGGCATGAGAGGGACCTTCAGTCCTAGGAGCAGGGCTTCACCACACAGGGATATATCTCCACCTCTCTGAATTTTGCTTTGTATTTGCAGAAAAAGAAAGAAGAGGGTATTATTGATTCATCTGACAAAGAAATTGTTGCTGAAGCAGAAAGGCTGGATGTAAAAGCCATGGGCCCCCTGGTTTTGACTGAAGTTCTTTTTAATGAGAAGATTAGGGAACAAATCAAGAAATACAGGCGCCATTTCTTACGAGTAAGCAAATTATTTATTTTACATCTGTAAATGCAGTTATGGCTGTGTGGCCTTGGGCCCATTAGTTTAACCTCTCTGTTCTTTGAAAAAAGTTCCCCATAGATACTTCCTAACTAAGCAATAAAGGGGCCTTTGTGCATTGACCTTGTGGACCATTGGTATAAGGCCCATACATAGCCTTAAAGGGGAACAGATGACTTAGTCTTCAGTGTTAACAGTGGTCAACCTCTTGAAGCCAAGATTGATCTCTTTGCAGTTTTGTCATAACAACAAAAAAGCTCAGCGGTACCTCCTCCATGGTTTGGAGTGTGTGGTGGCAATGCATCAGGCTCAGCTTATCTCTAAGATCCCACACATCTTGAAGGAGATGTATGATGCAGACCTTTTGGAAGAAGAGGTCATCATCAGCTGGTCAGAAAAGGTGGGGTGTATATATAAGTGGGTTTTTCGGGCATAGAAGTGTTGCAGCGTTAAGATTTTAAAACCCTAGTACCTTACTTGCTCTGTTAAAATGTAATCCCTGTGCTTGGCTGGTGTAACTTGTTAGGTGATTCAGTTACGTCTGGTTTATATAGTTCTCAGAAAGAATTGCTGGAATTGCTCAATTTGCGTTTAGTGAACATGGGTTTTTGGTAAGGATTCAAGATGAGGCTGTGACCCAGTCTCTTTAAAGAGCTCAATGTGAGGGAGGGATCACATAAATAAATCATTTTACTAAATTCTTCAAATTAAGAACATTGTGCTGAACTTGTACAGGCATCTAAGAAATACGTCTCAAAGGAACTTGCCAAAGAGATTCGTGTCAAAGCAGAGCCATTCATAAAATGGCTGAAGGAGGCAGAGGAGGAATCTTCTGGTGGGGAAGAGGAAGATGAAGATGAGAATATTGAGGTAAACTGGGGAGAGAGTTAACTACAGTGTTAGTAGGTGTTTGAGAATTAAAAGGTTGGTAAGCAGTGACATAAAATGGCCAGTTTTGATAATTCAGAATTTGAGTTATAGGTGTAATAAAAGGGTAGATTTGCCTTAATTCGGGAAATGTTTGTATTACTGGAAAAGATGACCCCAAACAATAATGGTCTCTTTAATGCAGGTTGCATATAGAGGAATTAATTGTCAGTAAAATTTTGTAAGATATTAAGCTGTGGAGACAGTTTCAAGATAACTTTCTGTTTCTGATACCGGAAACTTCTTGTTATTTAGTGTTTTTCAGGTAGATTTATTGGGATAAGGGCTTGGAAATCAATAAAAGCATTTATTTTATCAGGTGGTGTATTCGAAGACTGCCAGTGTACCTAAAGTTGAAACTGTGAAGTCTGACAACAAGGATGATGACATTGATATTGATGCCATTTAAAGTGGTGGATGCAACCTAGCTTAACAGTGTCATGCTGCACAATTTCCTGCTTTTATCAGCCAGAAGTGCAACATGTATGTGCAAAAGCTAAATGGCTTAACATCATGCTACACTTTATACTAACAATGTTCTACTGTGAGTGGTATGTAATAGCCCAGTGAGACATCTAAGGAGCCCATACACATCCCTGAGCAGATGTAGTTTGCTTATTTATAGCATGTTTGTTTCTGAAAACCTAGTGGTGGACACATTTGGATCACATTTATAGTTAGAAAAATAAAGATTTGTTTTTGGTCATTCTTCAGATTTTTAACTCTGAATGACTTTAACTGAAATAATTGGCTCCTTCTAAAATGTTGCACCATCACTTGACCTGAAAGGATTTCTGGAGCCTGTTAGACATTGTTAGGTGCTGAAACTGTAAAGAACTCTTCAGCAGAATGTAAACTTAAACTTACTTGTTGTTAATCAACTTACTCATTAATTAAGAAATTCAGTACCTTTCAGGTTTTCTCTTTGGTCCCTCAAGTTGACATCTGGTAATGGATGTTCTTCCCATGCCAAGGTGGACCGGTCATCAGATGATAGTGTGACACCTTTATCTTAGAAGAAAAATGACCTGAGTGTCCTATAAATAATTTTAAGAGCAGGTTTGAAACTTGAGTTGTGGTTATTTGGGTTGTTGTCAGTTGGTTCTTCTCTTCCCCCCTCCCCCAGTTCGTGTACACTTGCCCCTGATTGTGGTCTTTGACATCGTGTGCACATTGGCTGAGCCAGGGAAATTACCACATTAGCAAATCAGCAGTTTGTATGTGGAGCTATTGCTTTGTTCTGAGAGAAAACCCAAATTTTGGAGTGTGATAAAACAGCAAGCTCCTCTGTGGCTTCACTTGGCAGGAGCAGGAAAGGTGCACTTAACGTCCAGCTAAAAAGTGAGTGTCGTTTTTCAGCTTCCCTTACACCTCGGGTGACAATTTATGATTGTTTCCACATCCTGTATCTTGTTGGATGTGTGTTCTCCTGATGGCATGGTGGTTTCATGCTGTCTCCATTTGGACGTCGCCTTTGCTTTTTGGAGTTTGGTTGCTACCTTGCCAAAATAACCTTTGTAATGTCCAGGACTTGATCCTCCCACCCCTTGCCCCACCAAAAAAAAAAAGGCTTATTTAAAAAGAAACAAAGCTAAAAGCATATTTCTAAGTCAGAGCCTGTATTTTGGCATAAGACTTGGGATGTTTTTTACTTCACATTGAACATAGACAGATAGCCAAGAAATCTGTGAGGATGGTCGCTGGGGCCTGACCCCACCCATCCAGGGCTTTGATTTAGACGTAAAGATGAGTTGATCACTTTTTGTGAATTCTTTGCCCGGTTAGCTGATCTGAATCGCTTGCTTTGGGTTCTGACTCCATTTGAGCAGTCCTTTTTTCCAGGTAAGAACTTGTTGCATTTGTTGCTCTCCATAAAAATGCATGGTGGGAATCAAGAATCCAGGGTTGCTTTTGTGGAGGAAACACAGGCTTGTCCCGCTCACCTCCCTTGCCCTACTTGGTGACCCATCTCACAGATTTTAATGAAACCTTCCTGACAAATGTGTGTAAAAATTTTTCACATTGAAATTATATAGACATTTGGTAGAAATGAAAGCTTTTGTTAGTCGGTATTTTAAGGAATTGGAACCTACAGTCTTGCTGCTGACACAAGAATGGGTCTCCAGCTGCCTTGTGCTAGACTCCGGTGAGGGTGGAGCAGGAGCCTACCTGGGGGACGTGCTTTTGTCACACCAAAGAGAAAGGGTCACGGATCTGCATCTCACCTAGGTTTTAGATCTTTGCTACAAGGCCCATTTGAAATTCTACAGAACATACAATAGTAACCTAAGCAGAGTTGCACCCTAGATAACCAGGCTGATGAAGTTCTGTTTTAGAGTTTGTTTTTTCTTTCTCTTAATCTGAAGGAAAACATGTTCAGGGCTTCTAAACACTAAAGAGAAAATTTTGGCTCGGACCAGTGTTGACTGTGGTGCCAAATTTTAATGGAATTCAAATTTACATAATCTGAGTTTTGTTCACAGAGGTTGTCCTCAGAGTAATCCTTTCAATTCTTTGCTCTATTCAAGTGTCTGAAAACTGTTTCAAACACCTATGTTACTTGATTAAAACAATGTTAAAATTATATTTTGTCTGTGTGTTGATACTGAAATTAACTTAGATTGTGGTTTGTAAAAGTTTTATAACTGTTAGTTTGTATTTATGTTGAGTGTTGCCTTCTATGGTAAACTTGTCCACCCTTAGAAACCTGTGTTGCTCTTTTTGTGGGGTTACTGGTTTACTGGTTTCCTTAAGCCTTTTGTTGAAATCTTGTTAGATGCTTGCTGGAGAATTCAGACTTCCAGTATTATAGTATGTATTTCTAGGTAAGAAAGAAAAACAATTGAACAGAATCTCTTTTGCAGTGGGCTAACTTAAGACTCGTCGGCAGTGGATTTGGGTCTTTAGTTCTAACTTTCAAGATGACGCTTTCAGCCCTATAGGTTAGAAGTCTCAAGGGGTGTTTTCTCAGTAATCCAGAGCTTGGGAAGGCGGGGTACTGGGCATTGGGCAGTTGGGTAGAGCCGTTATTTTTCTAACTGCTGCAGCTTCACCTGCCTTTAGTTACTGTTACCCATAAAGTCACTAGAAATGCACAGTAGGCTTTGTCCCTGCACTGCCATTCTGATGGCTCTTCAAATCTTGGCCTATCTGACTGCGCCAGGATTTCAAAGTGTCCTTTGCCAGGAACTGTTCTGTGTCTGTATGCACTGTTCGTCCTGAAAGGCCAAAGTCCAGCTTCCACTGTCTCCACTCCGTGCTCGGCAGAGACCTGAACACCCATGAATGGAGCACAACCTCCAGGCTCTTAACTGGGCAATTGGAAATTGGCTCTGCTCCACCTGCAGTGGGGCTCCATCTTTGGCCAGGCCCAACTCATGTCCTGTCCAGATGGAACCTTCCACATGGGCCAGGATAGGGCACAATAGCTGTAGAGGAGTTTTTTTGTCAAGGGGAATCTTCATTTGGGCTTTGCAGTCAGATCTGGGCTCTACCCAGGGCCCCTCTGGCCTCTCTGTAATATAATAAGGATGGTCACTTCGTCCGGGTTGAAAGAGAGCTCAGCCTTGCCCTTCACCCACAGGAAGCCCTCAGTAAGGTTCCAGCTCATTGGTCAGAAGCCCAGGATTGTGGTTAGAAGGCTGTGTTGTTGAGGCAGGTCCAGAGAACTCAAGAAGGAAAGAAGTGGAGTATGGGGTCCTGGGATTATCTAGAGTGGGGGCCACAGTTCAGGGGCATATAACAGGTTTGAGCTAGACTTGGGGGAGCTCTGGAATAGCTGCTAGACTACAGATCTATTTCAGGGTGTTGTACTCCATGTAGCCCTAAAGCCCCATAGGTGCTCACAAGTACAAGTCTCCAGCGTGATGCTCAGACCAAGCCAGATCAGTGGCCATGGACTAGGCATGCCACTCCCCCATATACCCCCACCCCCCAAGGTCCCATGACAGCTTTTCCTGCTGCTGAATGGTTGGTTGACCGGATTTGGCGATTCAGATGCCTGGGAAGGTAGTTTCTTAGCTAGACCTTGTGTCAGTTGGATGTTGAAATGTCAGCTACCTCAAAGCTCTACTGGCAGTTCCTGTCAGCCATAGCTTGGGGATTTGGGGGGGGGGGAGGGCATCACCAGGGGCTCAAGCCATGGTTGCTCTCCAGCAGGGGTTTGTGGCTGGGGTGATGGGATCCTGTCTAAAGCATGCTACTTCTGTTAACGTGCCATAGAGTCGGAACTGACTCATAGCGACACCTCCTGGGGTTTCTGAGGCAGTATCACTATGGAAATAGATGCCTTTTCTTCCTTCTGAGGAGTGGCTGGTGGGTTTGAACCGCCAGCCTTCTGGTTAGCAGTCAAGTGCCTTAGGCACTACGCCACCAGAGTTCCTTCTGCTGGTGCCTATTTCCTAGTATTCTCTCAGGACATCCGTCTGATCAGCCACCGCCTTATATCATAGTCCACCAAGCAGCAAGTGCCCCTGCTCTCTGTGTGAACAGGAAGATGGGATAAGCCCTGTCACAGATCTCTCAGATGAGGCCGGCAATTGCACTTTCACCCGTTTTTGGATCCTACAATACACTTCATCGTTATCTGACCTGTTCATGGAACGTGATGATCTGCCAGGTTGCACAGCATGCCATTTCACCTCCCAATTTGGGTTCATCAGCCCATCTACCTAGTCAGGTTGCCAGTCTCCATTTCCTGGTTACTTAGTCACTCTTCAGCTTGATCGTTGTATAGATAAGACATCCCTAATGGTGAGCTAGCTTTGGGAACAAAGTCGTAGCAAGTCCTGGCTTGGTGTTAAACCTGGGCACCCTCCAAAGCCCAATTACGTTGACCTTCGTCCCAATTCAGTATAACCCAATATAGGGTTCCTGACCTATAGGAAAGGGAAGGTAATCAGTGGTGGAATTAAAAAACATACTTGTTAAGTGCCATGGGGTTGATTTGGACTCCTAGGGACCCTGTGTGACGGCTGCCCCAGAGGGTTTTTTAAACTGTAATATCTAAGGGAAAACACGAACACTAAGTCTTTCTCCCATGGAGCCACTGCGTCGGTTTGAACAGTCATCCTTTCAGTTAACAGTCAAGCGCCTAATTGTTGCATCACCAGGGCTCCTTAAAGCATAGTAGAACTTACAGATGACATGAAATATGGAAATAAAAACTTAGAAAACTAGCAAAAGGGAGTGGAAAAGACAAACCTCAATATAAAAGAAACAGCACAAAGATTAGCCAAGTATGAAAGGGCTGAACTCCCCTGTCCAAAAAAAAAAAAAAAAAAACAGTCCGGAGGCCTCTGTTTTAGGCTTATGTTGAACTAGTCAGTCTGAGCATGCCATCCACTGAAACAAAATTTTTGTCTGCAAAAGTTCATACAAATGTTCAAGATGCAATGATTGGTCTGTCTCTGGAGCAACAGGGAGAAGACAGGGAACCTGAGAAGGAAATGGAATGAAGGTCTGATTGCTTCCATGAACCTTCTTTGCCATGAGATCAGAAGAAATGGTTGGTGCCTAGCCACTATTACTGAACGTTTTGGTCAAGGACTCAATAGTTGAATCATGATCTAAAGCATAAGAAAATACGGAGCAGAATCTCAAATTCTTACTGGAAACCAGACTTCCTGAATTCATTGTACCATCAGTGTATTGCCTGGAAACAAACTCTTAAGCCTTGATTGGAAACTGTCACATGAAGTCATCTTTAAGCAAT